CGGGATGCGCCCGACCCACGGCGGCTCCGCGCTGCCTCGTCACGGGGACACCCGAGGCGGGGGAGAGGGCCAGCGCCAGCCACCACACTCCGCCCACTGCCGCGAAGTCCCGCCCCTCTGCCCCGCCCCCGGGATAGCCCCGCCCCACCAGAAACTCCACCCCTGCGGCTAAGCTTAACCTTGGTCGGCGAAGCCCCGCCCCCTCTCGGGAGTCCACTCTCCCTCCCCGGGCACCGCCCCCGAGTCCTTGAAGCCCCGCCCACCACCTTGTCTCAGGGACTCCCTCGCCCCTCCTGGCGTTCTTGGGAATTCTGCGGTAGCTCCAAGACCCCCGTCCCAGTTTAGGGACTCCCCACACCCCGCCCCCATTTCCAGGGACTCCCAGAGATCCAGGCCCCCCCCTCCCCACCGCAGCCAGGGCCATGGCGCTGGCCCGGGGACCCTTACTCCGCTTTAGTCCCAGGGACTCTCCGCCTGCCCCCGCCAAGACCCAGCCTCCCGGCTCCGAGAAGCCGCGGAATTGGAGCAGGAGGAGGAGAAGGAAAATACCAGAGGAAGCGGAGGAGGGACTGTGCGGCGGAGCCGAGTCGCAGGCTGTCTTCCAGCCAGCTCGACCACTTTCTCGCTGGGCCCTGGATGTCCAGCGACACTCTCCCCGATACACACACACACACATCCCAAGAAGCCACAAAGAGGGATCTTCGGCGGCGAGCGGCCCCTTCCAGAGATCTCCTCTATCAGTTATGTGCCAGGCCTGCGCGCTGTGCTTTGAGCAAATTAAACCTTTAATCCCTGGGGGGTAGGCGTGATAGTCGTCCGTTTTACAGGTGAGAAAACGGATGTCCGAAAGCGACATGTTCACGGTTACCTTACTGGGAAAGGGCCCCGAAGGGATCTCATCTTTGTGACTCTAGAGTCTCACCTCTTAACTTCTGTAGCTTGTCGTTATGACTAGGGTTGACTGGACAGGGCCTTAGAGGCTGAGAGCAGGAGAGATTCAGCGATGCAGCAGATGTGGTCCTTACAGCACAGTGTCTCTTGTCCGCTGGGGAACTGTAATCTCGGTCTGGGGGAAGTCCAGGGCATGGACCCATTAATCCCCGTCTTTGAAGGGTGTGTGTTTATGGGGGAAATCAGGGCAGGCTGCGTGGAGGAGGTGGCCTTTGACTTTGGCCATGAATGATGAGTGGGAGTCTGTGGGTATATTTCTGACAGGGAGTACCCAACCCCTCCCCTCAGCTTGTTGCTTGTAAAGCTCATAGTCCACCAGACTTCTCCTGGCCCACCACAGGCACTCACCACCACTCACTGCCCCAGCTAAAAATAGTCCAATATGCCAACTGCTTCACCAACTGTTCTGGAGCCTGAGCAGCCAGTTGCAACAAGCAGACAGTCGACAGCGCATCCTTTAGGGACAAAGGCATTCATTAGTCAAAGAGAAACTCCCTGAGAAGCCGCCGCTGACTAGGCCTGGCTGCTGGGCTACAAATCCTGCACCACGAGACAGCTTCCATCCTTGAATGCCTACAGTATGCTCACCTCCTTGCCGGTTACACACAAAAACCACAGGACATGGGCACTAGGACAGGCTCCCTCCCTATTGTCTCTCCATCTTCCAACAACACGGTGCTTGCCGTAGACAAGGCCCTGAGTGAATGTGTGCTGAATTATTATTATAATCCCCAGTTTACAGATAAGGAAACTGAGGCTCAGAGAGGAAGAGACACTTGCTCCAGGTCACACAGCCAGGCGAGTGTGCAGCTGAGATTTGACCAGAGCCCCAGTGCTATCACTGGGGGGAAACAGGGAGACAACAGGGAGAAAAGTCTGAGAGAATGCTAGGGCCATGTTCAGGAGGCAGAGATTTCTCCTGGGGTAGAGCTCTGGGGTCTAGGGGAGAGGAGGAGAAAATGGGGACACCACCACAACTGGACCAGTAAGCAACATCATGATAAACAGAGAGAAGATTGACGTTGTCAAGAATTTCATTTTCTTGGATCCACAATCAGCACCCATGGAAGCAGCAGTCAAGAAATCAAATGACACATTGCCTTGGGCAAATCGGCAAAAGACCTCTTTAAAGTGTTAAAAAGCAAAGATGTCACTTTAAGGACTGAGGTGCCCTGACCCAAGCCATGGTGTTTTCAACTGCCTCACATACATGTGAAAGCTAGACAGTGAATAAGGAAGACCAAAGAAGAATTGATGCCTTTGAATTATGATGTTGGCAAAGAATATTGAATATACCGTGCACTGCCACGAGAACAAACAAATCTGTCTTGGAAGAAGTACAGCCAGAATACTCATTAGAAGCAAGGAGGATGAGACTTTGTCTCACATACTTTGGACATGTTATTAGAAGGGACCAGTCCCTGGAGAAGGACATCATGCTTGGTAAAGTAGGTTAGCGGAAAAAAGGAAGACTGTCAACTGAGATGGATTGATACAGTGGCTGCAACACTGGGCTCAAGTATAGCAACGATTGTGAGGATGGCACAGGACCAGGCCTGTTTCGTTCTGTTGTACATGGGATCGCTATGAGTTGGAATCGACTTGATGGCACCTAACAACAACCATCAGGCACAGAACCCAGCTTCCAGCCCCGGCTCCTTAAGTCCAGTGTTCTGTCCCAAGAACTCCATCTTCTTAATCTCTCCAGGCCTCAGTTTCACTATTTGTAAAATTTGTAAAATGTCAATTTGTCATACTGTGGGGGCTTGCGTGTTCTGTGATGCTGGAAGCTGTGCTACTGGTATTCAGATACCAGCAGGGTCACCCATGGTGGACAAGTTTCTGCTGAGCTGACAGACTAGAAAGAAGGACTCAGGTTTACTTCTGAAAAGAATTAGCCGGTGAAAAACTTATGAATAGGATCAGAACATTGTCTGGTTTAGTGCCGAAAGATGAGCGCCTCAGGTTGGAAACACCAAAACCAAACTCGTTGCCATCAAACGACCCTATAGGACAGAGTAGAACTGCCCCGTAGCATTTCCAAGGAGTGCCTGGTGGATTCGAACTGCCGACCCTTTGGTTAGCAGCCGTAGCACTTAATCACTACATCACGGTTTCCTTAGGTTGGAAAGCACTCAGAATACGACTGGGGAAGAGCTGCCTCCTCAAAGTAGAGTCGACCTTAATGAGGTGCATGGAGTCAAGCTTTCAGAACCTTCATTTGCTGATGTGGCACGACTCAAAATGAGAAGAAACAACTGCAAACATCCACTAATAATAGGAACATGGTATGTACGAAGTATGAACCTAGGAAAATTGGAAATTGTTAAAAAATGAAATAGAACTCATAAACATTGATATTCTAGGCATTAGTGAGTTAAAATGGACTGGTAATGGCCATTTTGAATCAGACAATCGTATGGTCTACTGTGCCAGGAATGACAACTTGAAGAGGAATGGCATTGAATTCATTGTAAAAAAGAACTTTTCAAGATGTATCCTGAAGCACAACGCTGTTAGTGACAGGATAATATCCACACGCCTACAAGGAAGACCAGTTAATAGACTATTATTCAAATTTATGCACCAACTACTAAGGCCAAAGATGAAGAAATTGAAGATTTTTACCAACTTCTGCTGTCTGAAATTGATCAAACGTGCAATCAGGATGCATTGACAATTACTGG